TATACTTGTCCAATAGTTTATTAACAGAGATTACGGGTGATAGAAGGGAGAGACCTTTACTAACTCCTTTATGATTTTTGTAGGTCCCACTCTTTCTCCATCATTGTTCACAATTAAGGAGACTTGATATGCTCTTAAAAAATAGAGAAATTTCTTTAGGAAAAAGACGTGTCACTATAAGTGGTGGTACGTAGTAAGGCCTAGTTTTTAGACTTTTTTATTTTGATTTTACCCTTGATTTACAAGTATAATTTTTGGACGACCCAAACATAGAAAAATGAAAAATGCAATTAGTTAGTTCAAAAGTGGCCCGTAAATTTATTTGGGCAGTTCGTGAGTTCAACTTTCGAAATGCCTTAAACGCAAAAAGACTAATGCATTTTGGCCATTCAAAAATCCAACTTCAATTTGCCTAAAATACATAAAAGAAACTAAGTGTTGGCGATTTGAAAGTTCAACTTCAAATACATCATTTTTCGTTTTTGTGTTTTGATGGTTGAAAAGTTGGACTTTCGAACTGCCCAAGCACATGATTCGGGCTGTTTGAATGTTGGACTTTCGTACGGCTCAAATACATACTTTTTGTTGTGTTTTGGGCATTGCAAAATTTATATTTCAAACTAAGGGTAAAATGCGAATAAATTTTCTTCAAAAAGGTAGGATCTCGGTGCACTATTGCCAAAATATAGACCTTGTGGTAATACTACATTGTTTGTCCAGTCTCTACCCAAAGTTCTCTTTAAAAATCTTACTATATTTTTATTTCTTGTTCGGATGGGTATTTGATTTTGTTTGTTCTGCCATTTCACTAATGCCACATTTTGGTAAGACGAGAAGATTTTGTTCTCCTACTGGGGCATACTTTCTGTTTATTCCCTTAGGTGAAACCCAATCTAGAAGAATATTAGGACCCTAAGTTTTGGGGATGTAACATTTTCAACCTATAAGCTAATTGTAATAAAAGAAGATTTTATTAAAATCAGCCTAATCTTCTTTTATAGGTTAATTTTCTTTTATTGAGATTATCATGTGTTGTCAATTTGGTGCTCTGCCAAGGCCCACTGTCTTAGCCATCCTTCAACACCATCTTGTCCAAGGTCTCATACTAATGTTTTTTGTGATGTCTTACATGTGTGTGCATGCACGAGCCTTACACTACACCAACCTTGCCTCCTACCAAATGTCGAACAGTGTAGGAGGTACTCCCTCATATAGGTTTGTCGTAAAAAATTGGACACCATGGAATATAGCTGAACAGCACCCCCGTCCCCCTCCCACCCCCTGGGGGAAGTAGTACAAGTCCTTGCAAGACTTGTGGGTCTTTTCTACTGTCTTGTCACCAAGGGAGGTTTTGAATGCCTTGCTTAACATGCATTCATGATGCCAATGTGTCAAAAGGTGCTCACCTTAGGTACCTAGGTGGAGCCTCAAGGCAATCCGGGGGCCTGGGTGCCTCATACAGGCCAAGACAAGCGTTCCCCCACACTGAGACTGAGGAAAAATCTTTGGAAAATCAAATCCAGAATTTTTGGATTTCATTCTTTGGGAAATATCACGAGAGGTTATTAAAGGATATCTTGGGTAATTTAAAAACTCAATATTCATTCAAAACATTGAGGATTGAAGATCGAGCAACAAAGGTGAATCATTTTTTGTTAAAGTTCTTAGCATCTGAGATCTTTCGTTAAATGTGAGATGTGACCTTTAAGTGATTCACATGTGTGAAATGTGATTCAACTTTTACCCAATCACTTTCAAACTTCTGATTTTAAGAGAAGAAAAGAAGAAGATGACCTTTAAGTGTTTCATGCGAGACCTCTAACTCTGGCTTGTGATAATTTACTTGCCTGCTTCACACTAATATTGTTGTCCTGTCTAGGAGGTTCCAATCCACAACCCAGTATATCTTATGCTGGGAACATTCTTTGGCTGAGCTGCAAAGGGCACTGGACTAAAGGCGCTTGAATTTGCTCTCTCAGTCTGTGACTCCGTTGATATGTATGGTTTTACTGTAGACCCTGGATACAAAGAATGGTAAGCAAGCACTCTTTAGCAGTTATATATATAATTTATGGTTTGGGCTTTGCTTGAAACAAGAGAAGCATTTCCCATCTGGTTGTTATTTATTCAGGACTAGATATTTTTCAGATTCCAGACAAGGGCACACTCCCCTACATGGAAGGGCATACTACCAGATGATGGAGTGTTCAGGGGTAAGCTCTCTCTTTAATGGTATACAACGAAGTTAAATTTGGTAAGTCTCCTTCCATTTTATACGTGGGAACGAGATCTTAAATTGTCCTCTCTGACGCAGCTTATCAAAATTCACTCCCCAATGAGAGCAGAGTTCAACCGCAATTTGGAGGGGCTCCCATGCAAAAGTACACTTTATGCTGCAAGAATTGCATCCGAGAAGGTTTTTTGGGGAAATATCTTCTCTGGAAATTTCCTTTTCTCTTTCTATCAATAAACAATAATTCTTTGACTTTTTGATCAAAATTATTCTTCATTTTCCATTTCTTTGATACACTGAATTGACTAGTCTGAACTTCATTTATTACATAGGAGGCAATAATTCCAATTAACATGGTGCTAGTTCCAGGCCACAAGCACAGTAACAAATATCACCATTTAAAGAACTTGCAAAAATATCTCAACTAGTGTTAATGAACAAATATTTTCCAAAATATTGCCAGATCTTCCTCCTATTTTAAATTCCCGAGTCTATCTCTAGAGAAAGTTGTGAGTGTTAAAAAAATGCTCGTTTTTGGAGTTTACATTTTTTCTACTGTCTTCCTGTCTTTTCCCAACGATTTATTAACAAACCCAAAATTTTAAACATTCCCAAGTAATTTTACCTTGCAAAGGAATTCCCTAGAATGATTTCTTTCACACTACAAAAATGGCCTTTTTTTTGGGTATTCACTACAAAAATGACTCAATTCTTAGTCTTGGGCAGGAGAGCTGGAGCTAGCATGGAAGACCCACTTGTAGCATGTTCAATCGTGAAGAGGCGTAGCGAAGATGAACCTTGAGGCTCTCAATCCTAAGAAAGGCAGCCTTGGATCACCACCAGTACTTTAAAGGTGCGATTATGCACCCATTGGAACATAGAGTTGGAAATGGAATGGTTTGCATCCTCCCCAAGGCTTAAAATGATTTCACATCAGCATGATCTGATGGTTGAGAAGCTTCAGCATCCCAGATGGCAGCAAGGATTAGGGTGGGGGTTTTCCCTGGTTTGAGTATGGTCCGGAACTGAAGTAGAACCTTGATGAGAAAAGATTTGATCAGTCAAGAGGTTCTTCCTATTTACTTTTCTTTCCGCTAATTTGGTGGCTATTTCATGAATTGGATTGGTGATGTCGACCCTTTTCTACCACCTAAAAGGCCCACGTCTTGATTTTTGTGTGAAATGATTAAATCATGGTGTTTTGCCCTTCATGGTAAGGGAAGGTCAGACTTTCAGGGTGGTCAGGGTTGGTATCAAATTTTGTGATTCATTCAGTTGTATGAAGATTTTGGTTCTGATGGTTGTTCTTATTAAATTAATTTTCCTTTTGAAATTCAATCATCAAGAATTATGAAGAATGCGGGTCTGGTGATGGTGGTCTTATTGGATTTTCGTTTTAATAGTTGAAGCGCCATTTTGAAGGGCCGCTCCATTGTAAATGGTATCATTGACTGCTATTGACCCCTTACAAAGGTGGCAGTTTAAATAAAATTAAAAAGGCATAACCAAACCCAGGCATACGTTTATCTTAGGTTTTGATTGGATTTATTTGTTTCAGTCGGCATTTGCCTTCTTCATGGTTTTGCCGTTGTGGTTTATACCGGACAATTTTGAGTCTAATGTTTTGAGACGGCACATGCAACAGTGGCAAAGCCAGAGGAGTATCATATATGTGGTGAAGCATGTATTAAATTGGTTTGTGTACTGAAATATCTCTCTCTCTCTACATGGACGTGGATGTATGTTTAAAATTAGGGAGATTTATTAAAATACCCATGAGAGGTGGACTATTTAACATTTTACAGATTTACAACGATTGTCTTTTGATAAACTATATCAGTAAAATGTTAAATAGTTCCCCTCATAAATATTTTGATAAATGTCCATTAAGATTGAAATAGCTAGTGGCACGAGGTTTTGTTGTAAGCTTAAATTGGAGTATTGTCAAATGTGCTCTGCATGGGGGCAGCGATGGCAAGATAAGTGGTGACAAGAGAACACCAAAAAGTAAGGACCCCGGTATACGGAAAGGTCATGAAGCTCCTCGCCGAAAGAATAAAAGGTGTGACTAGGGGGTTCACAAACAAGAATTACAGCAAAATAGATAAGATCAAAGTGCCAAAGAGGGCATTAAAGAAGATATCTTTCATGAACAGTTTACTTATTGTAACATGATTGAGGCAGGTTTGTAAAAGTATTAAAGAAAAATAGAAAGAGGCGGTAAAGCCAAACACAACAGAGAAACGCTAGGAAAGGGGTTAGGGTTGTGGAGGTAGCATCCCTACTACATTGTGGTCTCCAGTTCTACTACCGATATTACCCCACTAACACTTTATAAAATGTAACTCCTAATCTAATGAAAAACCAGCTAGGGCTGTCTTCCCCATTGAATTACCCAAAAAAAAAAAAACTCTATCGAGAATATTATAAGTTCCATAAACAGCAAAATAAAGCAAAAAACAGAACTAGGATAAACCTAGGAGAAATAAAGATGCAGAGCAGTACAGAGAATGGGCAAGAATGGAGAGAGAGAGAGAGAGATCTAGGCACATTTCTGGGAACCAAACATGTGGATAGTCGAATTTTGGGCTATTTTCCTAAATAGCAGCGACAACATATTTCCATTTCAGGATGCGTATTTTTAGTCATTTTTACAAAATCCCAGCCGCATAAGTCAATTTCTTGATACTCAAAAACTTCTAAAGGAATCACTTCATTAAATTTGAAGTATCACGCGAATCAACCATAAAATTTCGTTAGGAAGAAGTTGAGGAAAGTTACAGTAAGCATAATACATGGATCTCATTGCTCAATTTGAAAAGTTTCCAGATGTTTTACACACAAAATGTGCTCACTCTCTTTAGTATGATACATGTAATCGAAACAACAAACTAAAAAATGGACTAATAAACGTAAACCCCGAGTATTGTATGACGTAACAGCGATCCATTTCTAAACAGAACAAGTATACAGAGCTCGTTTCTACTATCCTTTGTATCTTTTCTATTTTCTTTTTTGGATTTACTTGGAATTGTCTCGTAAAACTGAATTTGTGCACTAATCATCCCTAGCTTAAGGTTCCATTCCAGTCGATGGGTTCTCAGCAAAATATTCTTGGCGCTTCATATTCACCCCATACTGTAAACACATAAAATAATCATCAGAGTTAACGATTTTGAGAAACAATTCTTCCATCATTAGTAGTAGAAATAAATAAGTTTTTCTCGTCATCCGCCAAAAAATTTAAGAAATGCAAGGGCATATATATGCTCAGCAATAAATCAAGAGAACAGGTTGCAGTTGACTGGCAAGGCCATTTAAAAAGGGTAAACCATAGAGACACCTGATATTTTTATGTATTCATGTTATGTCGTAGCATATGATACTAATCAGATCAGTATCAGACCAAGCCAAACCATTCTTATGGAAGCAATGCCTAGTATAAAATATTATTCAAACATTGCTAGAAGATCATTCCATGGAGGGTACTTACTTCATGTAATGCCTTAGAGAGATCATCGTTTGTCAAAATGAGGCGCTTATCCTGATCATTATTACCAGCATTAGTAGAACTACAACACACAATAGATAACTTGCACATAATTTACAATTCACAGTACCTTTTGCAGTTTATCTCTCTTATCCTTAACAACTGCTGATTGCCTAGCCTTGCACAGCCTGTTACAGAACATAAATATTAGACAAAAAAAATTTCTAAAACTGATAAGAGCAACATGGTGTGAAACCCATTCAAAGAACCCACACCAAATTCTTTACGAGCACCTATGTTATATGTGGCGTGTGAGCAATATATAAAGTATCGGCAAATAACCTGCCTATCATCTCTCGCAATTCATCCTAGGGCTTTCAATCAGTTTTTCAGTCAATAGTTGATTTTCAAAGGAGCTTATGAGGTCAGCTCCATTTCCTATTTTCAGCATGTGGACGTCACAAGCTTTTTCAAAATCCTCTCAACACAAGCGAAGTCCCTCTGAATCTTGTGCAGTGGGACTTGGGCAACGAATGGACAAGAGAGTGCTAGTTGAACACTTGCAATTAAGGCCTATTGCATAAGAAGAGCATCATCACAATGATACAATAGAACCTCCATAAATTAATTTACTTGGGAGGAAACTCTGTCGATTAACTTGGGTTATTAATTTTAATAAATTGTAAAGAACAAGTTAGAACCAACTAGTAAGCATTTTCTAAGTAAGGAAGAAAACTACATAAGACCTGACACACTGCCAACTGAAAAATTTTCATTGTTGAAGTGGTATGACACATAACTCCAGAATATTTTCGTCTTTTGGAAGTCGCAAAACTACATCAAATAGGAATAGTTTCCCAAAATATGGGGTCATATGGAGGAAGGTGAGTTCTTTGGGTAAAGAGGTTTCCTAGGTTTCATTTGGTTGAAAGGTGAGTTCTGTCACATTAGGTCATGCCCCAATATACTCGCGGACGATCTCAAGTGAACCCCATAAAAGTGGGAGTTTCGACCTGTATTCCACTTCTTTCTCATTTCCTGTATTATACAACATGTTTCACTTTATTGGTCCTTGACACAAGCATGTGGTAACGAAAGCCGTCATTTTAGTAACTTTCACATATGTCCTCTCCTATGAAAGTAGTACATTGGTCCAACAAATATGGAATACCAAAGGCAACCTATAAACTATCTATAGGTGATATATAGCAAAAAGCTTCATCTTTAAATTTTACATTTATTGCAATTTTGAAAGTGTGTGGAAATTTTACTTAAGTTTGAGATCCTTGTGCAACCATTCCACTGGATACAGTTGAGGGTAACCATTGTCAGAACCCTTCATCTTGAGTTGCACCTTTGGGCAGCAATATTTTCCATGCACCAATAGTATCAAAGAGGATCCTCTGCAAGAGATGGTGTGGATTCATGATGGTGACATGACCCACACAAGGACTGTTTGATCAATGGGTTGAGGACAAGTGGTTTTTAGCAAAAGATTGAAGCCTTAAAAGATCTTGGTCCTGGTGTAAGTAGCTGTTTTTTCAGAATTTTCACACAATCTAGAGGTCATAGGATGTGAATCACAACCAATTTTTGATAAATATCTGGATGGAGATTCGGCCGACCCCAATTAATTGGGAAAAGGCTAGATGATGATGATCATCTGGATGGAGATTCAGATGTTGCAGAAAATCCTATTTTATATCATAAGGGAATTTTGAAATTTGGGAACTCAAAACATTGGCAAGAGAAAAACATTCAAAGGGCATGTGTAAGGGAGTTCGTCATTGAGACATTGAGAACACAAGAAAAAGAGACATGGGGCTCTTGGGTGCCTTCAATTTGTGTGCTTTCAAAACAGACATGTATCATGCAGCTGGTTGGGGTTGGATGTGAGTAATGGGGGCAATGTCTTCCTCGTTTGCTGCGCAAGGCCAGACCTGCTTAAAGAATTTGTAATAAACAACTATTAAAGGCGGTATGGACTACCACGGTCGCATGTGTGATAAAGGACAGCAGTAATGTCCTAGCTACTGCAGCAGAGTACAGGGTGTATACACAGCAGCAGCGCTGTATAAAGCACTGCAGTAGGTGTAGTGTGAATCACGCCCTGAAGTAGACCTATTATTTCCATCTGCAAGTAAGTGACACCTGCAAGTAATGCATGGCCTCTCTCTCTCTCTCTCTCTCTCTCTCTCTCTCTCTCTCTCTACTCTCTACTACTACTACTACTACTACTACTACGTACGTACTACGTACGTACGTAACGTAACGTAACGTAACGAACGAACAACGAAAC